TAAAGTCATCCTGAGGCCTTAGTTTTGGTTTCAAATGACACAACATCATGTATGTGTTGCTTCTTTGGGGCTTGTTTTCATAGACCTGGTTGCTTATTTCTCTCAAATCTGGCAACAGAGTGGGCGCAGTGTCTAATTGTAGCAGTAAGCTAACGAGTACTGAAAGCTTTATTTTGATCCAATGCAGCTGTGAAAAAAAGAAGCTATATCCATGTTGGATAGAATATCAAATTTAAATAAAAAAATAACCTTATGGGACCACTTGAATGCTTTTTTTCTTTTTTTTCTCTTAATGCATTGCATAAGAACGGATCGAGAAAAATCGGTATCGGCAAATTGTCAAAATCAAATGATCGGAATCGGATCGGGAGCAAAAAAAGGTGATCGGGACATCCCTAATACAAATGTAATGTCTGAGTAACCATATCAAATTTGATGCCATGTGGATAAAAGAAAATGTATACAATTAAACAAAAATACCATCCTTGGTTTGGAATTCAAGCTGAAGAAAGGCCCTTAGAACATTAGATCTGATCTGTTTTCCAAGAAACAAGAAACAGTGTTACCTTCATTTAAATATGTGTGCACACCTGTGTGTTTAACAGAAAGGAGCGCGTGGCCGTGAAAATTGTGAGGAATAAAGAGTGTTTCCGTGAAGTAGGGAGGTCTGAGGTCGCAGTGCTGGAGGAGATCAACAGCCTGGATGACGACATCACATTGTGAGTGTCAAAACAACTTTATGAATCCCACCAAGACACAATATTCTTCTACTCAGAGAAACACAGCAACATAAAGTCAGATGGCAGAGGTTTGAACCATTTTTCGGGGGTTCGTGTCACAAGCATAATAATTCATGACCTCTGACCCTCCCGCAGTGCCTGTGTGAGGATGCTGGACTGGTTCGAGCACGAAGGTCACGTCTGCATCGTGTTCGAGCTGCTCGGCCTCAGCACCTTCGAGTTCCTCCGACAGAACCACTTCCTGCCGTTCAACGTGGAGCAGATCAGACACATGGCCTTCCAGATCTTCAGAGCCGTCTGCTGTGAGTCGAAACATCCATCAGACCTCAGAAACATGCACTGTGTTCTTCAATTTTACACTTCATACAAGTTCAGTTTATAACAGGAAAAATTACCTACTTCACGTTTATGCTCGATTATTGTGGACTAAGTTCACAGTCCGCTAATTTGTTCCCTTTTTTTTAATTGTAGAGTTGCTTTTACTCTGGTGAAAACGTGTTGCTGATGTGACTAAGGTTGATATTTGTCAGATTTAAATGGGATTTGTTTGCCCATTGAAATCAGTACTTATTTGAACGAAAAACACTTTCAAATATTACATCTACTAAAACCCAGTAGCTATGTATCCAGGCCATCTTCCCTTGTCAGTATTAGAAACTTTTATTGGCGTCATCTTTGAATTGGAGCTTATTCGTATAAGTTCAGGGTGTGTTGGGTAAGAGAATCAGCAAAATTACAATTGTAAAATGTTCCTCTTTTAAAATATTTGCTACATGAAATGCTTTTTACATCCACCTGTTTAACTGTTGTGCAATTTATTTTTACAATTTGGAAAAAAAAGTTGATATATCCCAATAAATGTATGTTTGTCTTGGATTAAAAAGTGAATGCTTTGGTGAAAACACAAATGTTATATTTCTGTCGTGTTTTGTCAACGAATGAGGTGGGATTGACACTCTTCTTCTGCCATGGTTAAATAATACCTAACTGGAGAGCCTGATGCTCCTAACTCCTAACTTGTAACTGGGAAAAGACAAAAAGCTTTAAGCAAACACACAATAACAGTGTGTGATTTTGTGTGTTTTACAGTCCTGCATCGAAACCAGCTGACGCACACAGACCTGAAGCCAGAGAACATCGTGTTTGTCTGCTCCGACTACGACCTGCAGTACAACGAGATCAGGGTAAGGACTGTTAAAACAATAAAACACATTGTGCTCTCATCTCAAGTTGGATAGTGTTTAGCAGTGTGTGTGTGTGTGTGTGTGTGTGTGTGTGTGTGTGTGTGTGTGTGTGTGTGTGTGTGTGTGTGTGTGTGTGTGTGTGTGTGTGTGTGTGTGTGTGTGTGTGTGTGTTTTAGGAGTGTAAGGAGAAGACGCTAAGGAGTCTGGATTTAAAGGTGGTGGATTTTGGCACGGCCACATTTGACCACCAAAAACATGAATCACTGGTGTCAACTCGCCACTACCGAGCTCCAGAGGTCATCCTAGGTACACACACACACACACACACACACACACACACACACACACACGTGAAAGTGCAGTTTGCAGAAATTAAAATGTTGTTTTTGTTTTAACTTTGTTTTTGTGCACAGGTTTGGGCTGGAACCAGTCGTGTGACGTTTGGAGTCTGGGCTGCGTTCTCATGGAGTTTTACCTGGGATGCACAGTCTTCCCGGTACATACACACAGACACACACTTACACACACACATCTGGACAAACAGAAATATTTGTACGTCTTTTTACCCTGTGTTTTTGTTGTTCTAGACCCACGACAGTAAAGAGCATCTGGCTATGATGGAGAAAATCCTGGGGCCGATTCCTCCCCACCTGCTGAAAGAAACCAGGTAACACACACACACAAAGACACACACACACACACACACACACACACACACACACACACACACACACACACACACACACACACACACACACACACACACACACACACACACACACACACACACACAGAGAAGAGAATTGAATGAAACACAGAGACCCAGACGTACTTGTACTGTATCATATTATTTTCGAATCAATAATTTAAAAATTATGATTTTTTTTCTTTTTTTTTTTCTTCAAAACCATTTTTCCTCCCCAGGGGAGACGCGCCCCCCACTTTGAGAAACACTGGTTTAGCCTGATCTTCATTCAGAAAACACAAATTTTAAAAGGTTTTTTGCCTGCCATCTTGTCTGCACACTTGTCAAAGCATTAATTCATGATTTTTACTAACCAGTATCAGTATGTTGTTACGTCGGCATCATTTTGAAACGTGTAT